TCAGTTTCCATTTTGTTCTGAAGTCAGTTATCAATATATCTTAACCAGGTTTGTTGTTTTTTTATCTATAATTGTTGAATTTAACTTCATTTAATAATACATCTGTGAGGCCCAAAACAATATATAGTATCGATTAAATTCTGTTCGCAGTTTTAATCATTTTTATGATTTTATGGACACCCTATATATTGACTGCTATGTCATTATGTGTTGTACATGACTCAAATATGAACGTATTTTGTATTTGGCCATCTCTGACCTGAAATTCTCAAATTGTATTTGCACAATTGTGCAACGAAAGAAAGTAGTTTTACGACACTGATATCGCATATGAAAGTGGCATCCTTTTATACACATCATCTACTATGTGTTCAAATTGCATTTGCAGACCCTGCAGGATGGGGGTTGAAAACATGGTAAAAAAAAATATGAATTCCTTGAATTCAATCTATTTTTATTCTTTTCTTTAGAATCGTCGCTCTTTCCTCTTCTCCTTATCCTGGATATTCACAAGTTTCCTGGATTCCTTGATCCAGTTCTTTTCTTCCAAATTCAGTGTTTTCTACTTTCCATGTATTTCCTGACAGTCTGTCCAAAAGGCTTCATTTTACTTGAACAAAGCAATTATTCTATACAGCGTAATTTTAATGTTGACAAAAAAGTTAAATGAACTGAAAACATACAGGCGTTTCCGAATTCAAGTTTGACAAAAAGGGGAATTTCGGCATATGAATTGTTAATATTTGTCTTTTTTGAAAAGGGTACCAATTTATCAGCGGTGGTCAGAAGTAGGAGGCTATTGCAAACTGACTGCACAAATCTTCCAATTTACCTCTATAATTATTTCATTTCTGTCCTAAATATTCTGCCCGCGAGGCTGCATTTCTCCTCAGGAGAATCTATGAATGCCCAGAATATAAGTATTGCTGAAATTTTCTAGTCATGCGACACAAGTATTTGAACAGTGACAAAAATTCGCCAGTGCTTTCTAAAACAGTTAAATTTAAAATTCACTTTGAATTTCCCTGCTTTTTAAAAAACTTTTAACCAATATGAAAAACATCGGGGATCAATCATTGTACAGGGTGTCCAAAAAGTCAGTTCCTAATATATCTTAACCGGGTTTGTTAATTTTTAATCAGTATTTGTTTGAGTATTTTTACTTCATTTAAATACATCTGAGGGCAAGAACAACAATACCCTGTGCAATTTCAAAAAGTTTCAAGACTTTATGGACACCCTCTATTTCAAAATTTTGGTCAATGGAGTAAAAATATGGCATTTCAACATTAAAGTGTATACAAGATCAAATAAGCTGAAAGTACCGTGAGTGAAAAGGTATCTGCAAACCATAATGGATATTCATTTTTTGCTTGAAAATATATGCTCAAGTTCAATTATCAACACTTTAAAATTTTCTACCTCTAGTTCATCCAATAAACCCGCTATTTTCATTATCCAGTCTCCCACTCTGAATGATTTTAATACCCATACTCAAGACTAACTCCAACTCACAAATGGAACTTCATTTTTCTCCCAAGAATATTTTTGTCATGAAGTTGTGTCAATTGTCGGTTACAGAGATACTTATTATTTTTGTTATTAATAATTTGGGTGAATAAACCTATATATATTGTTGCAATGGTCTCGTTAGCCTGGAGCTTGGCGTCTGATTATTGGGTTTAGGGACCGCTTGCAGTTAGGAGTGTTGGTAAGAAGGACTCAAGTGCGAAACCTGATGCCCTGGGGGGTAGCAAGGAATTTTCAAATGGTACTTACTCGCTGAAGTATGCGCACCAGATGGTGGATGCCGGAACGTAGTATGTGTACCAGGGTCGATTTTCCTCATTTTAGTTTCATTACGAGTTCGGGGATTAGCCAAGTGACTGCCATAGTATTTGTACCTAAATTTATAGCCTAGCCTGGTACACATACTACGTTCCGGTGTCCGCCATCAGGGTTTGCATACTTAGGAGTACCTTAGAGAGGGGTCTGAAACTTTAAAGTCGGCCCACAAGAGCTAGCGGCCGAAAAACATAGAGTCTTGAGGATCTAAACAGTTTTTCAAGCTACGAAAAATTGCTATATATGATACAGAAAAATGCTTTTTTTTTCAAACAGGGGGTAAACCCCCCGCCTGAATACACCCCTGCTGATGCCCATCGCTTTACCCAGGGTGGCGAATAAAATTATAGTTGCAAATATTGTTTGTAGTTTTGAGTAACAGAGATTAGTGACAGGTTGCGGTCAGATGAGGGCATATTCACTTTGCTAACACAAACAGTCCCCGAAGTCGTAATAGAAATACAGAAAATCAGAATAAAATTATGGCCTAACCCTAACATGGTACACATACTACGGGATACCATAAGCAGTGGCGTATCTAGGTAGAATGGCGCCCGTGGCAAAGTTTGAAAATGCGCCCCTTTGATCATTGAGTAACAATTTTTTACGACTGTCATTGAATTGAGATACTTGTACGTTACTATTAACGTAAAAATACGAGTTTCAATTATTTCCAATTTGAAATTATTTTATTGAAACATTGTACAATTGAAATATTCCGCCGTTTTTGCGCCCCAGTCCAAACGGCGCCCCTGGCTGCCACACCCTAGATACGCCACTGACCATAAGTACATATTGCAGTAACAATGACATAATTGGGGCGGGGAACACTTCAAGGTTGACTTGACCGGGGTTAGGGCTTGGCATATTTGAATACCTAATTCACACCCCAAATATATTTAAATCAATACAACTACATAATTAAAACCTTTATATATTGTTGCAAATACTGTTATACTGGGCATTTGGTGCTCCAGAAGTGCGTGTACCAATATGGAGGTAAGTAATTTTTGTTAGCCTTTTTTGCATCAAGTTTTGTAAAGGGACTCAAGCCTATCAGCAAGGGGGTATTCACTAGAGGGGTGAGACCAATGGGCAGGGTTTATATCCACTTGGCTAACTGACACTGACAGTACCCCGACTCGTAATAGAACTAAAATATAAAAATTGGAAAAAACCTATAGCCTAACCCTAATCTGGTACGCATACTACAGGGTTACCAAGCCTTGTTTGGGGTGAAATTATGGAAATGCTGTTTAATATTTATAGGAAGTGTGCGCACTAAAGACGCCTTTGCCTGTATACTCATGGTTTTTTATTTCAATCCTCTTAATATCCCAGTTGCCAATAAAGGTCAGATAATGGAATTAATGGAACATAGCATTTTGGTTAATCATTAGCTAATAATAATAGCATTACATGATAATCACATTATAAAAAAATTGTCATATTTTGGTAAAATGCCGATTTTTATTGCTATATACTAACACAGAACAAATATAATTTTGTCTCAGGGCTGGACATGTCTGCTTAATTGTCAATAGATGGAAGTCATTGGGGCATGACTGGCCAGAATATTCTCAGTCTAACTTAAGCATGATTATGCTGCTGGTTCCAGCTTTTTGTTTTTGGGGGTCAAGTTGATTTCAAATTGCACTAAATTTGATCGGACACAGCTAGACTTTGAATGACAGGAATGCAGTAGAGTCAGTCACCACTCCAGCTTGCTTTACCAAGGTCGCCTTGTCAAGCAGAGATTTTCAATTGTCCACTTTCGTTCGGTATCTTGTCTTCATCTTCGCTCTTTGGATCTAAAAATAAAAGACTTGTGTGTTGATTATAGAACGATGTCATGCTTCTCCACCAGGTTTATGGAATCAAAACAAAATTTGCACCCAGAGCGCGTAGAAACATCTCATAGTATGTGTACCAGGTTAGGCAATAATTTTATTCCGGTTTTCCTTATTTTAGTTCTATTACAAGTGTGGGGACTTTCTGTGTTAACCAAGTGAACATACCCTCTGCCCATAAGTTTCAGTCCCTTTACACAACTTGATGTAAAGTAGGCAAACGAAATTAGTTACGGTACCTCCATATTGGTCCACACATTTCTGGAGCGCCGAAACATCAAGCCATTAAAAAACAATTTTTACTACATACTCCAGGTCGGAGGAAATTTTACCTTCAGATCCAAGAAAAACAAATTTGAGAAACCAACCCCCTTTAATAATTGTTTGAGATTTTTACCCAACAATTCCAACTTCCATATAACCAGTGCACAGAAATTTGCCTCCTGAATCTAAACAATTTTAAATTTAGATCCCTGCTTTGACTCTAATACCGTGAAAAAATGCTCTGACTTTACCGATTAAAGAAAAGGTACTTCCAAAGTATGAGAACCAAGATGGCGAAGACACTGGAACGTAGTATGTGTACCAGGTTAAGGTTTAATCTCATGAATCAAGACAGCGGACACCGGAACGTAGTATGTGTACCAGGTTAGGGTTAGGCCATAATTTTATGAACCAAAATGACGAACACCGGAACGTAGTATGTGTACCAGGTTAGGGTTAGGCAGTAATTTTATGACCCAAGATGGCGGACACGGGAACGTAGTATGTGTTCCAGGTTAGGGTTTGGACATAATTTTATGAACCAAGATGTCGGACACCGGAACATAGTATGTGTTCCAGGTTGGGGTTAGGTCATAATTTTATAAACCAAGATTGCGGACACTGGAACGTAGTATGTGTTCCAGGTTAGGGTTAGGCCATAATTTTATGAACCTAGATGGCGGACACCGGATCGTAGTATGTGTACCAGGTTAGAGTTAGGCCGCAATTTTATGAACCAAGATGGCGGATACCGAAACGTAACGTAGCATGTGTTCCAGGTTGGACCATAATTTCAGGTACAAATACTACAGGAGGGCCCAGGCCTAACCCTAACCTGGTACACATACTACGTTCCAGTGTCGACCATCTTGGTTCACAGTTCGGGAGTACCAAAGAAAATACATCCCAATATTTCCCATCAAGCTAACGCTATTTTGAAAATTTAGCTATATTTACCATATCAGCAACATGGCTTATTTTGAGTTAATACTGTAACAAGCCTGTGAACTTATAATTTTTTAATTACAATTTTCGTCACACCTCTCTTTGGTTCCCATTGAGCCAAATTCCGTTAATTAGCGTTGTCCTGGTATTTTCCCGCCTCAGATTTTCTGATCTGTTTCCTTCAATTTTGTTCATCTTAGGTTATTCCCCATCTTTTTTAATCTAAATTAAAATAAACAAATCAAAGGCACAGATCTTGAAAATCAGTGTCAGTGCGATAACTCGACACCTGCCAGGTGACGGAATTCAGTTTTACGGAAACGGATAAATATATCTATTCATAATTTTTCTCGAGTAGAGAGTGTCCATAAAATCTTAAAATTTTTTAAACTTGCGAAGGGAATTTATAGATATCATAAATTGTTTTGTATTGAATGAAGTAAAATTACTTGAACAATTACGGATTAAAAAACAACAAACCTGGTTAAGATATATTGAGAACTGACTTCATAACAAAATTTAATTGTAAAGGGATTTTATGAACACCCTGTATATTAGTTTCCATCACAAACATGCACATTTAGAGTTGGGGTCCCTTTCTCATCACCCAGGGCATAATAGGTTCGTTATACAATACTGAACTAGAAAGACTCCTGTCTCAAAAAGCTTATGTGGATGCTTGCATGGGGCCTCGTTCGGAATGAACGTTGCTGTTACAGAAAGACCGAAAATCAGTCAATGACAAGACAGTAGAAATAATTAAGTTTGTTTGTGGAAATCAATAAATATCTATGTACTACTTTTCATCAAATATTTTATAGAAAAAGGGCAAATTGGTAACTGATAACTCACCAATGAATAAACCAGTCAGGCTATCAATTGCCTCTCAAAAATGGAGGCAGTTTGGAATTTGCTGTTATTCCAGTAACTTCCATCTACATCCAATGGAGTACTTCTTTATTTTCTTGCTCTTCTCATAAGCAATCTTTAGTCAGGTGTCATTAAATAATTCTTTGCTATTATTATCTAATTAATATTAAGTATGGTACCTGTAATATACACACACATATTAATAGCATTAATTGAAAATTATATTTTAAAAACATAATCACTTATCAGTAAAATGATTTTAAGAAATAAATTACAAGTAATTCAGGAGGATTGCTACATACTAATAAAAGCAAATATTCACAATTTCGTCATAGCTAGACGGGTCTGGTAAACTTTAGTACAATTAAGAATAAGTCATTGGAGCATGACTGGCCAGAAAAATCACATTCTAACTTAAGCATGTCAGCGCTGCTATTTCCAGTTTCTTGTTATTGTGACTCAGATTGAGTTTGAATTGCACTAAAGTTAACCAGACCTGACTAGACTTCCCAAGACAAATACTACATACTATAAATCTAAGTTTGTATACAGAGATCATATATTCTAAAAAAATAAATATTTGGACAACAAAACAAGTAATCTACAGTTAAAATCAAGGGCAAAAACAGTCATAACAGTTTAGCTATTTGTTGGATTACCTGTAATGTGGGTAATATATTTTTTTAGTTTCTGAAGTATTAATATGATTTTGAATTTTAGGAACAAAATAGAATAACTATTTATTGATTACTAATAAGGGCAAAAACAGTCATAACAATTCAGCTATTTTCAGTGAATTAAGTATGTCAAATAAGAAAAACTATTTATTATTTACTGATATCCACTAAGAACACTATTTAAATCCCAAGGTTCAATAATGCGTGTACCGTTTTGTTATCTCCACAATTCATGAAGTTTCAACTACTTTCCAGCCATGTTCACTATTTTAGCAACTAAAAAATAAAGCAAATGCCTGGGGCTGTCTGTGTTAGGTTATCGATATTCTTCTCCTACAAGACAAATATGTAAATCATATTTAATAGTGGAGATACAAAAATTGAAATGAAGATATGATACTATGCGATATATGGATTGGAAGATTTACCCAGAAAATCTCAAACTATAAGAAAATTGCATAATCAACTAGTGCAGTGCAGTGATTTGGTTTTGAAAATGTATAAGATTTTCCCATAGTGCCATAACATATGAAAAATAGAAGGTATAGACAGTTTATAATTAAAAAAAATTGCAAAACTAAATAGCATAAATCACTTGCTAATTGAGAGTAAAATAGTCTTCGTTGAGTTCAGATAATTGTTTGCTTTTAAATCACTTTCAGTTGGTAATGCCAATAGAATTCGATAGTTTACAGTTTTGCAATTTTTTGTTGTATTATTTCTGTGGAAGTTCACAATTCTTTGCTTCTTCTTGCAAATACTTCTCTTTATCATCTCCTTTCAATTCATCTTTCATGAGATTGAATAAGTGAGGGAAGAACTCTGGGAAATTTGAAGCAAAAAAGCTCCACATGCCCTTATTTTTTGACCCAAGTTTGAGTTTCACTTCTTCAGGTTTATCATTAATATTAGCATCATAATACTCATGGGTGTTCCGTATGTAACGAACCAAATCAGTAAGGCTGTTTCTATATGGGCTACTATTTCCACTGTTAGGATCTTCTAGCGTTTCCTTTATGAATTTAACCCAGTCTCCGCCAATGATATTATAAATCCTTTCCAATGCTTCTTCTTCTTCTTTCGTTCGCATAGGTTCGTCCACTGATTGCCCTTCCCATGGTTTAATGTTGTCCTCTGGTGCCTCTTCACTGGAAGAGACAAACTGGATTGAATTCTGACTGTCATTACTGCTGTGATCATCACAGCTTTCATCCTTGTCTTTTATGTCAAGGTAAGCCATTTTTTTTTCCACCGTTCCATTCATTTTCAGATGTTTCCTTGATTCAAACTTTGTTAATTTTTTGTCATGATCAAAAGATAGATCAAAAGATCGATGGCAAACCTTAATGAAACTCATTTTCTTTTCTTCGTTCCATGTAATGCAATGCTGGAGTATTTCTGTAATTTCAGGACGAGCTTCTGGTTCATGACTGAGCATGGCCATCAGGAGGTCGATCAGTAAATACCTGTCGTAGAATTCTTTGTCATTTTCAATGTCTGAGAAATTTGGTTTTTTCTTTTCCTCTATTGATGTCTGTTGTTTATAATTTTTACCTGCATAAGGGTGTTTTCCATCAGTGAATATAAAATAAATAAAAAGGCCTGAAGAATATATATCAGCCTTGACCCATGCTTCAAATCCTGTGGATCGGTCGTCTGGACACATTTCTGATGCAACCCAACCGTAGCTTCCATTAAACCCAGTTGATCTGATAATTGTTTTGTTTTCATCTAATGCAAACTCCTTGCTGATTCCAAAATCAATAATTTTGATGTTCTTTTTATCTAATGAAAGCAGTACATTGGTTGGTTTCAAATCTCGATGGGCAATTCGATTATGATGGATATACCTCAGCCCATGACAAAGTTGTATAAGCAGTATTTTCTTTTTCTCGATAGTAAATGTTGGCAACAGATCTTTCCATTTTTCCTTGTTGCATAGCTGAGTCACAAGAACTAATTCAGAGTTATGCACACAATGTCTGATGTATCGTGCAACATTCACATTGTCAGTCAACTTGCTTGCAATTATAATTTCTTTCAGATATTTATCATCAAACTTATCTTTTTCATATTCTGCTCCTGATAAGCTTTTATCAATACCACATAGTTTCACAGCAAATTTATTCTTCAACTCCAGACCGTAAGAGTCTATGCTTCCTACATATACTCCACGTCCAAGAGGTTGATTCAAATCATATCTTATTACATCACCTTTGATGATAATCAATTTTTCTGTAAAAATAAAAGTTTCATATAGAGCTCTGGCAGAGGTCAACCTTGTTTTCATACATAGTTTTCTTTATTCTTGATTACTACCAGTTAATTCAATGTGCGTGTGGAGTTTGCAGCCAAAAGCGTTTTGTTTTTATTTACAGAGTGTAATAAATATTGTAAGTGTTTTTCGCCGAATCTGATGCAAAATTTACACATAATGAAACAGAAATACATCAAACTAGGCAACCTCACAAGAAAATTGGGATCGAAATTAATTAAACAAGCAATAAGAAGTTTGAAATTACATTTGGTGGTTTCATAAAGCAACCTGATCAATGGCCTTGTGCATATCTCACTAAATTAGACACACGCTGAGGAGACATCAGCGTGGTTCCCAAACTTTTTTGTATCATCACCCCCCCTACAGTTATTTATACAACTTCATCGCCTCCCGACATTACAAAAAAAAATGCAAAGTCAGAAACGAATATATTACAGACCAAATAAACAAGACAAATCAAAGTTCATTGTGTTTTTTCAATGAGATGGACAAGCTTGGTGGACTTCAGAGAGTTTTTGAATATTTGGTGACATTTTTCGTCAGGCACAATCTCAAATCACCCCTTTTACTAATAGGTTTCAATAACAACGATTTGTTTTGTTTTGTCACAGCTGAAAACCCCTTTTCCACCATATAAGAGGTCGGAAATGAAAGTATCCAGGGTTCTACCTCCTCAAAAGTTGCCGGATACTTGCCTGATGACCTGCACCAAAATACATCATAACGATCTTTGTTTTTCATCATATACAGCGGCCTCCAGTTCGGCTACCAGTCCATAGAATTAATCAGCCATTCATTTGTTTCAGATTCATGAACTTGATAGTGGGGAAAGCCGTAACCGACTATCAGCTGCGACAGGGGTCGGCAATCTTTTGTCGCTCGCGGGTCAAAATTAAGGGTTGCAAGTATTGGCCGGGCGCACATATTTTTTTGAAAGTGAAAACAGAACAGCGCGCGAAGACTTCAACAACTTGTGAAATGAACTCAGTCGTCTTATTGAAAGAAAAAAATTATAAATGACATTTAATGTGTGACTGTTTTGTTGCTGCATCAGGCTTTGTAGCTTTTCAACATCGGCGGCACACTGAATGAAGCCAAGATTGGAACATTTTTTAAATGGGCATCACTAATCTCAGTTCTCTGCTGCACACTAATAATTCCTGTAACATCTTGTCCGACCAAAGTCAGACTTCCTCAGACAAGCAGTTTACAACAATACAATGACAAGCAAAGGTTCTTCATTTGTGTTAGTGTGCAGCAGGACTCTTGAATTGCACAGTATGGTATTTTTAATCAAGCAGTGATGCATCTCTCGAATGGAATATGAATTTTATTTCCTCATTGATTGCATAACAAGGAGCTCCATTTCAAAATTTTCTGCGCTATTGAACCCCTGCACTCAGCATCAATTTTTCTGCATGCTGCCATTAGCCAAATTATTATTAAATTGTAGGCTCGTTATAGGAGTAGCTGTCCACTAAATTGTTAGGTCATAATATTATTTAGTCTAAACGTGTCTCACGATAAATTCTGTGGTAGTTCCGAAGTATGTGAACAAAGATGGAGGACACCGGAATGTAGTATGTGTACCAGGTTAGGATTAGGCCATAATTCCAGGTGCAAATACTACGGGAGTCACCTGGCTAGTCCCCCTGAACTCGGTAAATAACTAAAATAAGGAAAATTGGAATAAAATTATGGCGTAACCCTAACCTGGTACACATACTATGTTCTGATGTCCGCCATCTTGGTTCACATACTCCACGAGTACCAATTCTGTTACGTAAAAAATATAATCTACTTGAGCATAGATTATAAAATGAATTGATCGTCAAAACCGTTGTTTTGTTGCTATAATTCAGTGATGCGCCACGGGCTGGATCTGGCCTGCGGTCGTAGGTTGACGACCCATGAATTACTTTATGGCGGGCAGGAACCCATTAATCTTCTCGCGTGTGATTATTGCACACAGGATCCAAACCTGCGAACGCATGCCGAGTACAGTAATTACACAATGCGCCAGCCGCCAAACAAAATCAGGTTTTGCGAAATCGCCTCCCTAGCGCTCCCTTCGACTTCTTTGCCACCTTCTGTAACTTTTTCGCCCACGATTTCGCGATATCGCCCACTTTGGGAATCACTGCCCTAGAACACTCCTAGAAAGTTGCAAACTTTTTCCGAGCACGAACAGCTATCTTGGTCTCCCAGCCCAAACCTTCCACTGGTGCGATATACCAAACCCTAATAAAAAACAGAGTCTGCTTCCTTGAATTACAACTCCTGGCAGTATCTTTAAAAATTTTCAATGTTTATGGGCCCCCCAAACCGGCAATAAATCATAATCCGAAACTAAAAAACTAGGATTTACGCGCGGCGGTGTGGCTCAACGGGCTAAGCGTTAGGAATACGCTCGCCACCGCACCTCTAATTACTCTTCGTGGGTTCGCAGGTTCGAATCCCATGCAGGGATGGTTATGTGCGAGAGGATTGCTGGACTCCTCGCCGTCGTTGGGTGGTTCACGTAACCGCTGGTCGGTTACGGCTTCCTCCACTACCAAGTCCATGCTTCCGAAAACAAACAATACAGTAAAAACTAATCCTATACCCGACTTGGAATGGTAACCGGACGAGAGGCCGTGGTTCGCCATATGGATAAGCCGTCTTATCGGCTTTCCTCTCCCCCGGGATAAATATGTAAATCCTATCCTAGTATTCATACCAAGATGGCGCACATCCTGAACAAAGTATGTGTACCAGGTTAGGGTTAGCAGGTTGTGCGCCATCTTGGTACGAATACTACAGGAGACTGGGAGAGCCCAATTAGGCAGAAATTTATTTAAGTACCATTGATTAAGTGCCATGATTGAAATCATGCCACAGCACCACTCAATTTTAAAAAAGATTTGTAACTTACCTAATTTCGCTCTTGAAGTTGTGGTTGGAAGTTGTTTGGAGAAAACACTGGTTGTAGCATCTGCTGACTTTCTTTGACTTTTGAGTTTTGTGCTTTCATCCAAGTCAATTTGTAGTTTCTGTAATGAATGAAGTTTTCAAATAAGAATAGCACTGAGCACGCAGAACAATATTCAAACTGACAATGGTATCTAATAATTCCTGTGCTGAATTCTAATGCATTTTATCATACCATACTGTATAAAAAACTCTGCTTATTCTAAGAATTTTTCCATTTATTGAGAAACTTTCAAAATTTGCATACTTTGATAACTCACTAAACTGACAGTCCACACTCGGTGGTTTATTAAAATAATGAGTACTGTAAAAATTTAGTAAATTTAAATTTGTAAACTTCTGATTTAGACTTTTGCTTGACGAACAGAAACACAAATGAGTCTTACTATGCAATTTATCTTTTCATCAAAAAACAAATGAACCTAAATATTGAATATGTGCAACACCGCCAAATTGACTTTAATTTTAATAATCGCTTTAAAGAATTGAAATGACACCAATGGAAATAACATACACTTCGGTGAAACTTCAAAGTGTTTAGTTCAGCATGTACAATTTAAAATTTTAGTTTATTTTAGTTTTTACGCAAATCGTTGATTTTATGTCTGACACATATTTTACATTTTATTTATCCCAAAAAGAATTTCAAACCTCAGATCCAATTTCATTCAATTGATTCTGTAATATTTCTTCATCTTCATCAGCCATTTTCCATCTTTGCAATGATAACTCCTTTGTAACATTAGGAAGCAGATTTGCAACTGCAACAATATCTTTATGATGTGCAGTTCGATCTTCATCCAGAACCAACTTATCAATCTGTTGAAATAAACAAAAACAAAGAACAATCAGACATAAATAAAACACACAACAGTCATTCTCATCATAGTTTTGACAAACCCCATATTATTCATATTACACAGAAATGCATTGTAACAATAAAAAGAGCCTAGTGCTAGAAGTTAGAGGAGTTTTCATCAAATTAGGAACATTATAGTCAGGTGACAGTTTTGTGGTCAAATCAAGTTTATTTCATATCTTGGTAGCATTTATAATCATTAAAGAAAATTGTGAAATCATTGTTAACTCAGAGCAGCATAGTCAGAATTAAAATTTCATGAACAAACAAGATTTTGTGACATTAAAAACTAGGTCAGAGGATTGCTTTGAATTTATAAACAACAGAAGTCAAAGGTTGCTTTGAATGATAATTTATAAATTCTGTACAAAAGACTAAAGTTAAAGTTTGTCACAAGGTTTGCAGTGAGAAGTCATGATTAATTTATCTCAGAGGCCCCATCTGTCTCATTGGGAATCACTGAAATACAAGTGAAAAGGGTGCTCCCGAAGTATGCGAACCAAGATGGCGGACATCGGAACGTAACATGGTAACAGGTTAGGGTTAGGCGATAATTTTTTTCCAATTTTCCTTATTTTAGTCCTATTATCAGTTCGAAGACTAGCCAAGAGCCTCCCGTAGTATTTATACCTAAAATTATGGCCTAACCCTAACCTAGTACACATATTACATTCCGATGTCCGCCATCTTGGTTCGCATACTTCGGGAGCCCCGTGAAAAGTACAACCATTTTTGATATCAGAATTACTCCTTTTATTGTATAATATGTCAAAAGATTTAGTGTTAATAAGTGCTTTAGTGGCTGAAATATATGTACTTTCAGATTTTCAGAAAATGGTATTTCTATTTCCATTTTTTTCATTTTCCTTCTACTTTCTAACAGATATCAGTGCAATTAATGAGTACTCGAGAATAAGAATACTTTGCTCATTTGCTCTAATTTGTTTTTAAAAATCGATTAAACTTGTAAGTTCATCAGAAAAATAATTAATATATTTCAAGTTCAGGACAAATTTCAATTTTACAGGACAGGACTCAACAGAACCAAATTGGTCATAAGAATTGGTTATTATGTATTTCAAATGAATTTTCAAATAAACGAGAAGGCCTGAAAAATATTATTAAAACAGGTAAATTTAAAATTGTAGGAGTTTTACATAAATTTCACCATATTTCACCATATCAGGCAAATAAGTCTACCTGGCGAATAAGACGAGCCCTGTTTTTGAGCCTGAAAAAATAGGGTTTTGCATATAACTGGCCAAAAAGTCGGGGTAGTAAAATCGCATCAACATCGGGAATCTTAAATTACCATACTATGCCTTTTGAGCGGTCGCCGCGTTTGCACATTGGTTAAAATAGCCCATAATAACTTTTTCTTGTAGCGTAATATTCAATCCATTTACGATAATTCAAATATGATAATCACAGCATTGAAATTCCAGATTCACAGCAAGAGAATGTCGATTTATTCAAACTAACCTGATGAGGACATGGGGGATGCTATCGCCGAAGGTATTTTATTGTCCGGATTCAATAATAAGGCGACACCAAAAAATGAAAATGATCATACTCGCCTAATAAGACGACCCCCCCAAAATCAGGTAAAAAATTTGGGTCTAGAAAAGCGACTTATTCGCCGGAAAACACGGTAATTCAATTTTGGGCTATGAAGGCGTAAAACTCAACTTATTACATAATCAAATCCAAAATTTCCTCCAACACCTTTCAAAAAAGTCAATTACTATTATGTTATACCTCTGTGTTGCCCAAGGATGATTTGAAAGCTTGTAGTTGATCTGATGACAGGTTACAGTATTGAAGGCCCAACACTTCAACACAGGATTGATTGGAAAGTATTTGTCCAACTGATGATAAACCTTCAACTCCCATGTTTGTGCTTTCATCCAGCCATAATTGCATGATCTATAATAAAACAAGAACAATTTACGATCATGTTTAGACTGTTTTAAAACTTGTTGGGCAAATTGTACAAAATGGAAAGCTGCTCAAAGTTCAGCTGGAATGGCAAGATTTCAAACTTTAGACAAAGAGAGGAAAAATAATTCAAAATTAAAATAGCAAAACCAGTAACAAATTAGCATGGACAGTGGTTTCACCCTTGTTGATGGAGCGGAGCTCCAATGAAACATTCCAGTGGGTCAGGGAACCGCATGTGCAATAGTTTTATTGCCTTTCATTAGCTAAATTTTATAAACCATAAATATAGATTAATAATATAGACTCTCGGATTTGAATGGAAATTTGCGAAAAACCACGACTGTCTGTGACAATTCAGTGAAACCTTTCAAACCAAAAAGATTTTGATATATCGCTGAAGGAGAACAGAAGGGGCCTAAGTCACATTTTTGAAAAATTCACTTTTTTCAAAAAGTTCCAATATGATGGGCATGAACATCAAAAATGAAATGTCCGAAACTTACATCCCTAAAGATTTGTTCAGTGCAACCTAGGCCTAAGTCACCTTGTTTTACCTTGAATCACATGCAAAAAATTTCAGAAGTTGTTGAGAACAGAATGGGCCAAAACCCTTTATGGGGGTAAAAAAGCAGGAAAGAACTAAAGTTGAAGTGCCAAAAAATATTGATTACAGAGATATTCTCATCCACATTAAAGTAACCGGAGCTCAGGTCTTTACTAAGTGCGAATATCTAGAAATTCAAAAATAAAAAAATTCCAAATTGTTTTTTGCGTATTTTTCAAAACTAAAAATTGGGACCTAGGCCTGTTCTGTTTTCATCCGGCGATATTATTTAACATATACCGGTGATTAATATATGGTAAAATTCTACTATATAGTAGTAACTCTCCAAATATAAGTTGCTTGCCTAAGCCATATTTATAGTAAAAACATAAAAACAAATTTTAAAGAACTTAATATCACAAATTCTACCTTCACATTTGATCCTTTCAATCCAGATGCCAGGGTTTGAAGTGAGTCTGACTTGAGATTACAATTTCCCAAATCCATTTTTAGTGATGTACAGTAGGAAGCTACTGATCCAATGACATGAACATCACTTATGGAGAGAGGATGTCCATACATGTGGATTTCATCAAGAGATGATTTGACAATGTCAATCATTCCATCCTTGGCTTCGTTCAATGCAATGAACAGTTCCATAAGATCTGATTTGTTTGATTTTGAAATTTTTCCGAATTGTAATTGCATACTTTTCTTGAGAACTTTTCGCTTTTCCTCAAGATCTTGAATTTCTGTGAAAATATTTATATACTGATGATACTTGTGTCTGAATAAAGAGTTACCATTCAGTTAAGATTAACGTACAAATAACATTAACCTTTATCTTTTTTACATCAGTAAATGGGAGGTTAAATCCAGTCAGCCATAATTAACCAATGTATGGTTAAGTTCAAATGTAATGTAAAACAGTATGGTATCTTTGCATTAATGTGTCAGTTACAATGTTTGGAGAGAGTGCTTGCATATGTTTGTTATTGCAATTCAGATTTTCCGAAGCATAATGCTTTAATTCAAGGGTAAAATGTGTAATAATTAAGCTTGGCTATCATTTTTGTTTTGCATTAGAACACCATAGTACAAGGGTGGGCACACCGCGGCTCGCCAGACTTTTTGTGCGGCTCTTCTCGCTAACATAAATTATTATCCAAATTTTAACTAAGAGAAAAACTTTAATGTAAACTCTTCTAATTTATTAAAAGTCGTAAAGAAGTTTTCGTCAATGATTAAGACAAATTAGGTTTTAGTATGAAAATCGCTGTATCGTTGAATTTTGAATTTAAGTCAGTCAAGTTAGCAAATCTTTCGTCAAAATGGTCAATGTTTATTGATGCGTTGGCAGCTTGATTGCGGTTAGTTAGTCTAAGACTCTAAGTTACTGTGCAATAAGTCTTCAATTAAAAAACGAAAGTACGAAGATGAAAACAGAGTTGTCAAGTCAGAATGGGAAGAAGAATACGCATTTACCAGTCAGGAGAATAAACCTTTGTGATTAATCTGTCATAAGCTACTAAGTCAAAAATGTTAAATGGCACCATGAAACGAATCAGAAAGCCTCATACGAGACTACCCTCGTAAATCAGCTATAAAAAAACACAAATTAAATGAGCTCAAATTGTGCATATATTTGATTATAGCTGCCTTGTTTATCTATTTATTGTTATAAGGCTCTTGTGTGGATTTTTTTTCTATTCATGGTATTTCGATAATATCAATGAATTCACAAATTTTGCGGCTCTTTTAAAGTTCTGACTTGCAGCATGCGGCTCTTATACTAAAAAATTGTGCCCACCCCTGCCATAGTAGCATCTGAACCTTCGCCTCTATCTCCAAGAATTACAGCATTAATAAGTTAGTTTTTATATGGCTCTCTCAAAATTTCAGGAATTTTCTGGGTCAGCCTTGCCCACCAATATGATATATCCTAGATAAGGGGTCGGCAACCTACGGCACGCGACGCTTTACTGAATTATAGTAACAAAACAACTCTTTTGACGATGATATTCTTTATGTAACATAACTATTTTGGGACACATGTAGACTAAACTATATTATAATCTAACAAGTATATAATTTGTTTAATTAACAATTTAATTATAAATAGACAAATAGCAAACAAACGCAGAAAAGTTGATGCTAAGCGCAAATGGTTTAATGGCGCAGAAAATATTCAAATGGTTAGACCTCACGCGCTGCTTAAAATTTAACTTCTGATCTGTGTGAAAATATGCGATTCATTGGCCATCTTTGGATTTTTAGATTTCTGAAGACATGTGCGACCCACCAATGACTTGCGACCTTTATTTTCGGCCCACAAGCAACAAAAGGTTGCCGACCCCTGTCCTAGATGAAAACACAATTATGCAATGTGTACCGTGGATGGGTAACCTACAATGCCAATACAGTTAACAAGTCAAATACTTTAACTGCTAGGACATTGTACTGATTAAATGATAATGCAAAAAACGTCCAACAAATTTTAGATTCGAATCAAGAAAAAAAAAAGGCTCCAGCTAGATTTTTGTATCCAGGTTCAACAATAAACAACACAATACCTTCAAGTAAAATTCCGGCTGCTTCATAAACTGTGGTATTCAATAAAAATCCACAGATCATTTTTCTGATGAGAACAAAGTGACCTGTATGAAGATGTTTATCCACGAACTGCTTGAAAGATTTTAAATCCAGTCCAAGAATATAGAAAGATGTGAGAATTTCTTGAATACTTTGATGTTGGAAGTAAAGGAGGTGGATTCCTTGAAAGAGTTTACAATATATTCCTCCAGGAGCTAGGATTGCTAGATCGGTTGCTTCTTCCGGTTTTAGATGAACTTGACGAAAATCATCTTCTGTGAATAGAACTCGATGTTCTACTGTTCCAATGTATGATAGTTCTTTTAATTTGCCCAAAACTTCTAAAATATTCTCTTGGTGAGTGTGGGGTGATCGTAAGATACTTTGCATGACCACAATCATAATACCAGTCATAGTGTTTGGTTTGAAGTCAGATTGGAATTTCAAAGCTATCAATGTGTAAACAAGCATCACAGGTGTAGTGCACAGAAACAAGAGTAATGGAGCTTTGATTTTGAGAAATTCCATTATTTTCTCGGCCTCTTTCTCTCCTTCATATCCAGAAATGATTTCTTTGATGGACTCCATTGTTAATCCAGCAAGTGCAATGACCCTGTCTGGTCGAACTTCTCCCCAATAATTTCTGATGGAATGTTCACGACTGGATGACATAGTGCGACAGCCAGGAAATAATTTTCCAGTGAGAAAATTCCACATTATTACCTCAGGATATGCAGGCTCATCTAGGCTTATGACTTCATAAACTCCATCAACTGTATATTGAAGAGTATCCAATGAGTCGATAATAAACAAAACTTCCTCTGGGTGAGTTTTTGCAATCTCTATTGCTTGAACTCTTTCTTCTTGTGCGAGATTGTTGAAAATTAGTTCACCTGCTGTTACTTTTCTGTTGTTCATATATTGTTTACATTGAATATATGGAACCATCTTGATGTTCCCTTGGAAATATTTTCCATGCATGACATCTCTTGAAGTTGCTTTCATGAGTGTGGATTTGCCTGATCCAGCCGGTCCCACGAAACAGACATGACCTTGCTTGAAGTTGTTAAACAATTCATCAAGTTGAGTCTGTTTTCTGATTCCCTTTTCTCTTTCCCTTTCTAGATACTTTTGATGATTAGATGACAGTGGTACATAATCGTATTCAGGTATTCTTCCACCTTTATAAAAATCAATTTCTTCTAATTGAGGAGTGACATCCACATTTAGTTTTTTCTTAAAAACTCCATGAGGTTCAGCAAAGTCATAGAAGTCAGTGCACTTTTCAGTGTTATCATTGATTTTTGCTATTACTTTTTGATAAGACATTATGTTTGCTTTACAATGTCATTGAGTTTTAACATCCAGCGTATTGACCATCTGGTAAAGCTTCATAAAAATAGATTCATCTGATGTAATATTCGCTAATACTTTTCGACAATATCTTCAAAGTTCTAGGATATAAACTTTAACTAAACCTGCAACAAAAGCTTTATAGGACTAGGGAATATATTGGTATTTCAAGAAAAACAGCATTTAAATCACCTGTCTGTCGTCATCTGTTTACTTAGCACTTCAAGATCTTGTACAAACTGGCATTTTATCAAAAAAACTAATATTCATTAACTAAGAGTAAACAAAGGGCGCAATAATATTACACAGGAATTTCACAACAGAAGCGTAATAAACTAAACACAATATCCAGCCAATACAAGGGAAACTTGCTTTGGCATTTTCATCACGAACTAAAAAACAAATCAGACAAAAACAGTCAGACAAGCAAGAATGAAAACATCGAGAACCAGAAACACCTTAAACTGACAAATATTTAGCAAAATCATGAAAACTAGATAATGCTTATAACCATGACTACAAATGTGTCTTAGCGACTACAAAGATTTCGATTATCATTTCACACTAAGATTTTGTTGTTAAATTACTGTTAAATATCCGAATATATATAATACAATAGTAAGATATTTTAAATAGAGAATCCGTCCATAATATATATCTTATTTATCAGACAGATATTTATATAATATTCTAATATGACCATAAAGTCTTACTGTAGTGATATACACTGATAGGTAAATAAATATCCACTTTTAAATTATCCTAAAAGTAGATAATTGTAATGCATCCTAAAGTCAAATTTGGTATAATATTAAAAATCAAATTACCGATATATAAAATTATAAATATATCAACAAAATGACAATCACTCTTCCGATAAGGAATTTGAAAAGAAGTTTGCAACAAACATTCAGCAACTTCTTTCTAAACATTTATGCCGTTTTTATTACTTTGATAAAACAACAATAAAATTGATCCATAATAATGTAGTACAGCTGCAATACTCAATTCAGAAGAATTTGAAAATATAAATTTTTGAATGTCTCTGGCTATCCTAGGTGAATACGATAACAAAGGTCAAAAGAAATCAAGCCCAGGCTTTAATAGATTGGTTAGCCAATTCCGAATTAAAACATTATATTTCCCCAAAGTTAATAGCCCCTACGTATTGCTAGACATCAGTGGGAGCTGGAACCAGACCTTGTTCAACATTAAAGGCAAAGGCTTCATATAAAAAAGTCATAGAGTTGTCCGTCATAAAGTTTTAATTTGTTGAAAATTTGGTACTCCCGAAGTATGTGAACCAAGATGGCAGACATCGGAACGTAGTATGTGTACCAAGTCGGAGTTAGACCATAATTTCAGATACAAATACAACGGGAGTTACTTGGCTAGTCCTCGAACTCGTAATAGAACTAAAATAGGAAATATTGAAATAAAATTATGGCCTAACCCTAACCTGGTACACATACTACGTTCCAGTGTCCGCCTTCTTGGTTCACATATTTGGGCAGTACAAAAATTTTCATTACACATATATAAATGTCATGAAATTTAACGTAAAAAATTGGCAATAAAACTTGATAGAATGAATTGTATGTTTAACAAGCTTGCTGCAGGCCAAACTACATTAGTTATGACTAATAACGAATTAAAGGCAAACCATTTCTGTTCTTTTTTTCAAAAATCTAACCAGTTAATTTTCAACCTTGGTGAACTATTGGCAATGTTTATAGTAATTCCATCCCTGCATTGTTCATGTTATTACATTACACATATATAGTGTTCACAAATAGTCCATGTATGCATCAGGCCAGTTTTTTGTTAACTTTGATTACAAGCGATAAATGCCTAATTTAGTGCCAGCGAAGCTTCCTTATTTCCTGTACTTTGTAGATCTTTTAGGCCGCAAAACAATTTAAAAATTGCTATAAATATAAGTATCTGTAGTTATCAGCGGCTTCAATGAATGTTCTTTTACCATTCATAACTACCTACTCATGTGAAAGGACGTTTTCATGTATTAAAAACAAATTTGGCGCGGCAGTGTGGCTCAACGGGCTAAGCGTTAGGTATACGCTAGCCACCGCACCTCTAATTACTCTGCGTGGGTTCGCAGGTTCGAACCCCATTCAAGGATGGTTATGTGCGAGAGGATTGCTGGACTCCTGGCCGTCGTTGGGTGGTTCACGTAACCGCTGGTCGGTTACGGCTTCCTCCACCACCAAGTCCATGCTTCCGAAAACAAACGATATAACTAATCCCATACCCGACTTGGAATGGTAACCGGACGAGAGGCCGTGGTTCGCCATATGAATAAGCCGTCTTATCAACTTTCCTCTCCCCGGGATAAATATGTAAATCCTGTAATTCCTATCCTATACAGACCAAGGTTAGAAGTGGGAGAAGATCCTCAAGTTGCCCTCTCTCAAATTAAACCTCAAATTGATATGTTGTGTTCTAAACACAGAGCCTGTAACTCTCATTAGGCAGGATAAATGCAATTATTTACTATTTCGTATGCTAAGTTTCATACAATTTTGTGCAAGAAAATTGCTAAAGTCAATAGTAGTCTTGAAATCCATGTTCATTTACAGAATATTTTACACAAAATAATATGATCATGGAATGCTTGGCCTGTGAGAAATCAAAACGATTTTTCAGGGTTGCACACAAAAGTACTTGCTCTATACAAGCAGCCACCTATATCTAACAATATGCAAGGGATAGTATTTTTAGCAAGAATTTTTTCAGACCGACAGAAGTTACTTTATATTGAGTGTTTTAAGAACAGGAAGGCAGAAAGGAGTGCGTATTAGTCTCAGTCATAAACATAATAAGCTTATAAATAATCATTAAATGTTTGTCAGCATTTTTTTTTCCAATATTTTCTGTGTGGATAAGAGAACTCTTCAAAAAGTGAAATATGACTATTTTAAAGTGAGTATCCAATGACAGCCGACTGGAGTTATGAAAAACTTCTCAAGTACTCGTCATGGAATATATCATTGGTTCCTAACCTGGGGTTATAAACTCTTTTGGTCACTTTTTAGGGGGTCGCAGAACAAAATAATTTTATGTGCGACTTTTTGTCTATAAAATCTATCCTAATCAGTGATGAAAAAAAAAATTGTTCACAGACGGAAAAATTAAAAACGAGAAATAATGGAAACTATTTTTTCTGTCTTTGGGTTGACCAATCTCAAACTAAGATCTTCCCACTTCAGAACACTCTTACCACCATGACATCTTATCTGTTGACGATACTAATTTTAATTACCAGTAGCTATAAGTCTATGATTCCCAACCTTTTTTATTGACTTCCCCCTTTATTTATTTTTGAACCCTCCTTCTCTACGAATACTATTTATATATTGAATCTCTAATGGGCTGTTTTCCGATTTAATGCGTAAGCTGCATTGTCTTTTTTAAACAATTTAAGTAAGTTATCATAAAAAAAGTGATTTGATATTTGTGTCACACAATATGTACTCAATGCGAAGTGATTACGATATATATATATATATATATATATACATAAAAAAAAGTCTCTACTTGGGTGGAATTCTTGCCGGTTGGGAAGCATTGCAATAAGTGTCTAATTTACCATTTGTGCGTTTGAATATTATTTAACAAGAAACTATGTGGTCGCAACAGGAAATGTTTGTAAAAGTGGCAGCTTCAAAATTTTCTAAAATCAATTCAATAGCTGGAAATTTGAAGACTACAGAAGGCAAACTTTCTAGGAAATGAGTATCATAGAAGGTATGTATTTTCATTACCGTATTTTCGGGACCGTCATGGTCGATTTTGACTCCCGGTATTTTCTGGACAAAAGCTAATCTAACCCCAGTGATTCAGTTTGAAAAATGCAGTCTTGGTAATCATCCTGCTAGCCGGAAATACAATACTCAGCAAATAGTACTGATAGTGCACTTAAATATAGTTATAAAAAATTTTAATTTTAGGGATAACGGGGTAATTTAAAAATTGATAGTATTTAAATTAATTCAAGATAATTATTTTACAGAAACTGATTAAACCTTAATATCCATTTTTTTTGAGAGACCTACTAATTTAAATTCAGCATAAATCGTGGAAGGGGTAGCGGCATGTTAAAAAATATCTAAAGGGTGTCGCGACGCAAAAAAGGCTGGGAACCACCGGTATATAGTCATGATTCAGCTGCTTAACTCAGGTTACAAATGCAAGTTTAAACTACCCATAAGATATTGTTGGCTATATGAGACACCAAACGTTGAAAATCAAAACATGAATGGTATTTCAGGGTATTAATAAAATTCCATTTGTTGCCTCTACACTATGTCAAGTCAAGTTTATTTTTTTCAACCAGTAAAAAATATCACAAGCACAAATTACAAGAAAATGATAATTTACAAAGTTTTACTGGGGAAGGGAAGTCGCGGGGAACTACAGCTTGTTATGGAGCAGCGACACCTGACGTTTTAATATCTAATTCAAAAAGTTAGAATTCTAGAGTTTTGAAACTACTGATTTTGACGGAGGGTAGAGTATGAAATAACGTACTGGTGTCCGCCATCTTGGTTCATCTACTTCAGGAGCACCGAAATTACGCCCTAACCCTAACTTGGTACACATATTACGTTTCGGTGGTCGCCATCTTGGATAACATATTTCGGGAGTACCTCAAATTTTGGAAAGTTAAATTGTGAACCAGCCATAATAATGCAGCAAAGTAATATTACCTAAAAGATTAAAAGCTTTCATTATTAAAAAGAAGATTCGTGATAAAGCAGTTAATCCACTGATATTTTATGTTGCATTATATTCACTTTCCTTGAACTAGATTGACCGAACATGGGCTGTTGATGAATTGCACAAATACGATATGATTTACTTACTGACTATTTACTGACCAAAGAAGATCTCATTTATTATAGCCCCACCCTCTTTGTATACAGCTTTGTAGGACTAGGGAATATATTGGTATTTCA